CCCTCCCCCCCTCCTGCCTCCCGACCCGTCTCTGACCCTTCCTTCCTTCTGCTCCTGCCCACTGTGGGGGCACAGGGGCTCGCACCCCTGACTGGGCCCCACCCGTGCCGTGTGATGGAGGCTGAGGATTCCCTTTTCCTGTGAGGGTGACACTGTGCTGTCAGCCCGGCCTCCCTAGGGCCAGCCTTACGCGAGGCGGGTGGCCTCCCTCCCTACTCTGAAGCCCCTAGAGACCCTGCGACACAGGGAGGTGGCATTCGATGCCCTCAGAGATGAGTCAGACCGAAAACACAGGCAGGCCCTGAAAGGTCTGAGAACTGAGAACATCACCGCAGAATGAGGTGGTTTTAGACCCGGCTCTGCCAACAGCCGGCGGCCCTGGGGAGCCACTTCCGTCCCCTGAGCCTTGCTTGTCCTGGCAGCCAGATGAGGGGCTGATAGACCGGTGGCTTTCTCCACGTCCCCGAATCTCCCCTCTGTGGCAGGGCCATGCCTCGCGCCCCCCAGCAGCTGCACTTCCGTCTGTTGCAAACGTCGGCCCCTGGGCAAGACGTGTAGAGAAAGGGCTGCGTTGTTAACGCCGACGTCTGTCACCCCTGCACCGGGCCGAGGCCTCAGATACCAGTCCTAGAGGGAAGGTCAGGGACACTCATGGCTCTTCCTGTGGGACCCCGTCAAAGAGGCAGCCCCGTTGGGCCCTCCCCTGTTCCAGGGCCACCCTCCCGCCACAGGCCTCGCCCTCTCCCGGTGCTCGGCCCCCTCCCCCCTGCTCACTTCCCCTCCGGCTCCCTGCAGAGGGTGGATGAACTTGCTTGCCGGTTCTCAACATCTCTGCAGGCCCCAGCCAGGCCCCAGCCAGGCCCACGCTACCCCGGGGCTGGGAGGAAGAAGGCACCCCTGACACATCCATCCCCACAGAGGTTCCAGCTGGACCAGCGGCCTCCTCCCCTTAGGATGACCTCGCCCTCCAGCTCTCCAGCCTTCAGGCTGGAGACGACAGACAGAGGCCAGGAAGATGGCGCTGAGGTGGACAAAGGAAAGAGGGGCTATGGGGATGGGCCACCCCCCATGGAATCACCGTACCAGGGCGAGGACCGGAACTTCTCCCCTCAGATCAAAGTGAACCTCAATTACCGAAAGGAAGCAGGTGCCAGGTGAGGAGGTGGATGGGGGTGGGGCACCCCGCTCAACTCCTGCAGAGCACCGGAGTCAGGCTTGGTGGCCTCCCAGCAACAGTGTCCTTTACCCATAGCCTACAGCATCCTCGGTCTGGCTCTGATGGCTCCTGAGCCCCACAGGCTGACCTCTGCTCTGCTCTCTGGGGTGGCTCCTTCTGGAACCTTCCCCGTTCTTGGCCTTCTGCCCTCGGAGGTCATGTTCTCCTATGTAGGGACACATTCTTCTGGCTCTAAGTGCTCAACCCATCTTCAAATCCTCCTTGTTTGTGCCCCAACCCCCACCCTTGCCATGGTCCCTGTGGGGGATGGCAGCAGGATCCACACTCCATCCAGGGAGAGGGTCAAGGACATCTGGAAGTGTCCTGGGTGCTCCCTGGTTCTGCCTCAAGGCGGAACCTGGCACCCAGGGGATGTGGACTCTAAGGACTGAGGGTGATGGTCGTCTGTGCTTTGATTTTCCGGTGGTCTCTCTACCAGTTCAGACTGTGTGAGCCCACTCTCCCTGGGAGTCCTGCCGCCAGTGCTGCTGTGGGCTGGAGGCTGCCCCTGGCATCCCCCTGAGTGTGAGTCCTGCCCTGCAAGGCTGGAAAATCCTCACAGGCCAGGCAAGGCTCTGCCAGGGAAGCCCCTTCCTCCCTCATCATGCTAGAGATGCAGCTACCAGCCTTGGCCTCCCAGGCTAGAGCCCCTGTACTGTTTGTGCTGGAGGACCATGGTCTAAGGTGGCACCAGGGCAGGAGAGGGTGCACGGGGAGCTTCTGGGAGCAGTGTAGCCTGCCCAACAGAGGCAAAACGGCCCCGTGATGGCCTTTGGAGCCTGTAGATAGCCACTCACTGGGCTTCCCTACCCCAGCACCGTGATGCCACCCTGGTAGCAGGAAGCATTTTGTCCAAATGACCACTTCCTCTCCCAGGACGCTTGCAGGGCTCTGAAGTCAGCAGCAGAACCCTCTTGGTCATGCGGTGGCCGTGTGGTCTTCTGGGTGGATGACAGCATGTCTGGCCAGGGCGAGGCTGACATGCAGCTTCCTGGCGTTGAGGAAGCAGGGGTTGGCTCTAGTCACAGTTGCAGCCATGCTGCTTAAAACTTGACTGACCCTAACGATCACCTCATGCACCAGAGTCCAACCCTTGCTTGACTCCCATACCACAGGAGACATTTAGCTGGAAGCTGAGGGTCCCCAAGGCACCAAAGAGCCACCCTTAGTCCCTTCATAGCTGCTGGTCATGGTGCCAGGATCCCAGAGATGAACTGGCCCCTGTGAATAGTGACACAGCTCAGGAGGGAGCACCCCCCCGTACCCCGCTTCCCTGTCACTAGACTCTGATGGGTTCTGATGAGTTACAAGGCCCCTTGGGTCTGTGGGAGAGATTTCCCAGAAGTGTAGCTTCTCAGTAAAACTCCATGAGCGTCAGATGCATTTCAGTGCTGGGCCCACATGATAATCTGGGAAACCACTTGCTGCTCAGCCCAGAATCTCTCTGGGGGCTCAGAGTCAGGGCCAGAGTTAGACAACCCCCATGAGAGCCCTATTTCTGCACTGTGTGTCTCTGAGCAAGTTATTTTCCCTCCCTGTTTGTCTAATGGAGAAAAGCAGGATACCTGACCCTCAAGGCTGAAGTGAGGGTTAGAGGTTCAGAAGACCCCTTGATTAGTCAGTAGATGGCTTTGGAGAGGAGAAGGTGGCTTTTCTCCATTCCTCGTCCTAGGCCAGTGGAGCATGCAGCCACTGTCAGTCTCTGGGCACCTCCTGCAACCCGTCCAGATCCAGAGACAAGCTCGAGAGCTGCCACATGTCGAGAAGGTGGCTTTTCTCCATTCCTCGTCCTAGGCCAGTGGAGCATGCAGCCACTGTCAGTCTGTGGGCACCTCCTGCAACCCATCCAGATCCAGAGACAAGCTCGAGAGCTGCCACATGTCATGTGTGCTGAAACAGACCCCGTGGGATAATGCGTCTGTAGAGAGGGGGGTGCATCAGTCACCGGCAAAGGACAAGCTCAAGGGCTAAAAACATCCCTGCCGACTGGAGTCGTGGGGATGAAGCAGATCAGGGCCGCACACGCCCCTCCTCCTCCTCCTGGAGCTCTGGTGCTTGGGGTCTCTTTGGTTGGCCCCAGGAGGGCAGAGGACCGCCGAAGGAATCCCCCAGGGCTCTTGGGCCTGAGGGATGTGCGGTGCTTACAGGGCTCCCTGAAACGGCTCTCTGGGCTGGGCAGTCTTCTGTGGGCCTGTGGGCCTTCTCTGCCATGAGTCACAAACCACATCCCCCACAGCCAGCCAGACCAAAACCGCTTTGACCGTGACTGGCTCTTCGGCGTGGTCTCCAGGGGTGTCCCCGAGGATCTGGCTGGGCTACCAGAATACCTGCGCCGGACCAGCAAATACCTCACTGACTCGGAGTACACAGGTAGACCGTGCCCTGTGGGGCCAGGGCTGAAAGCTGGGCTGACTGGGTGGTCCTGGACTGTGGTCGGGAGCTGAGGGATGAGTGTTCTTGGCAGCTCTCCTGCCAAAAGGGCTGTTAGGGGACGCTGTGGATGGAGCTGACTGGGGACAGCCCCTGATGGTATTGGCTGCGTCTCCCACTTCTACCTGCCCTGCCGGGCCCCCAGCTCCCTCTGCCACCTCTAGCCCATTTCAGTGGCTGAATGGATACTCAAAGCATTTAAAAAAATAACTGTTGTTGAGATATAATATATAATACATATACCATACACTTCACCCATCTCAAAGGACTCTTTGTCCAAAATCTAAATACCTTTTGTTTTGGCTGATTGGAAAAATAAACTCTAGAAGTTTTAAACAGTAAGGAAATGTATAATGCCGAGGATAAAAAAGACGATCTGTCATCCTGGACCCCTGTTAATGGTTTGGGATACAACTTTTTAGACTTTCTTAATATGTTAGATATATATTTACATAAATAGGATCTTGCCATATATACCAATTTGTAATGTGCACCCCTCCCACTTAATATATCTTTTTTTTTTTTTTTTAAAAGATGACCGGTAAGGGGATCTTAACCCTTGACTTGGTGTTGTCAGCACCACGCTCAGCCAGTGAGCGAACCGGCCATCCCTATATGGGACCCGACCCCGTGGCCTTGGTGTTATCAGCCCCGCACTCTCCCGAGTGAGCCACGGGCCGGCCCACTATATCTTTTTTTTTTTTTTAAAAGATGACCGGTAAGGGGATCTTAACCCTTGACTTGGTGTTGTCAGCACCACGCTCAGCCAGTGAGCGAACCGGCCATCCCTATATGGGACCCGACCCCGTGGCCTTGGTGTTATCAGCCCCGCACTCTCCCGAGTGAGCCACGGGCCGGCCCACTATATCTTTTTTTTTTTTTTAAAAGATGACCGGTAAGGGGATCTTAACCCTTGACTTGGTGTTGTCAGCACCACGCTCAGCCAGTGAGCGAACCGGCCATCCCTATATGGGACCCGACCCCGTGGCCTTGGTGTTATCAGCCCCGCACTCTCCCGAGTGAGCCACGGGCCGGCCCACTATATCTTTTTTTTTTTTTTAAAAGATGACCGGTAAGGGGATCTTAACCCTTGACTTGGTGTTGTCAGCACCACGCTCAGCCAGTGAGCGAACCGGCCATCCCTATATGGGATCCAAACCCGGGGCCTTGGTGTTATCAGCACCGCACTCTCCCGAGTGAGCCATGGGCCGGCCCCCACTTAATATATCTTGAAGCATTTTCCATTTCTGTATACATCTAACTCGGTCACGTTAACCACTGCAGAGTGAGTTTTCCATTGTGTAGATTTACCATCATTCAGTTAACCAATTCCTTATCAATGACCATTTAGGTTGTTATTTTTGGCCTCAACTTGCTATGTGCCAGGCCTTCTGTGTGCTAAGCACCTTGTTTATATTATCCCATTTGATTTTTACACTGACCCGGGACTACTCCCATTTTACAGTGAGGAAAAACTGAGGTTAAGAGAGGCCAAATGACTTACTGGAGGAGACAGAGCCATTAAGCAGTGGAGCCACTTACAAATACTGCTCCAGATGTTCTTGTATAGAAGATGTTGCACATGGAATGAATTATGTCTTAGAAACCTGGCATCTGGGGCAGAAATTATAGTCATTTCTGTTGATATTTTAACACCTGTGCCTGGAGCCTTAAAGCCTGCAGCATGCTTGTACTCCCACCCATTGTGCGTAGCAATCTTTTTTATCCTCCCAAGGGCTGCTCTGGGGCCTGGGCTTGCTGTACGAGCTGGTGTGCCGCCCAACTGCTCCAGCACCCCGGTGTTCCTTCCCCTCACTTTTTTCCCACAGAGGGCTCCACAGGGAAGACGTGCCTGATGAAGGCTGTGCTTAATCTTCAGGATGGGGTCAATGCCTGCATCCTGCCACTGCTGCAGATTGACAGGGACTCCGGCAATCCCCGGCCCCTGGTCAATGCCCAGTGCACGGATGAGTACTACCGAGGCCACAGTGCCCTGCACATTGCCATTGAGAAGAGGAGCCTGCAGTGCGTGAAGCTTCTGGTGGAGAATGGGGCTGACGTGCATGCCCGGGCCTGTGGCCTCTTTTTCCAGAAAAACCAAGGGACTTGCTTCTATTTTGGTGAGTGAGTCTTTCTTGGATAAATTGAGGTACAGAGGGGATGAGGCCCTGTCCAAGGTCACATGATTAGTGTGTGGCAGAGCTGGCACTTAAACCCAGGTCTGTCTGACGCTGATGCCATGCTTCTAACCCCTAGGCTGCCAATAAAAGCAATTTGTCTTAAGAGATGTTTTATCCTTTTCTGGCTGAGGAGGCTTGGCATGCACCCAAGGCCCGACCTGAGGAGGGGAGTGGCTGCTAGAACTGGCATGTGTTGAGATTCGACCAGGCAGAGCCTGCATAAAGGAGTAGTGTGCCTGAGCTCTGGCAAAGAAGAGAAAAAGAGGCAGGGGAGATGGGGACCCTCATTGGCTGGTCCCTGTTCTGCCCCCTTAGATGGTAAAGAAGCCTGACCTGCTTCAAGGAGGCCTGGCCTTCTGTTCAAGGAGTTTGAGGAGTAGGCAGGGGGAGGCTGGAGGCCTGAGGCCCAAGCTGCCCCTTGCCCACAGGCGAGTTGCCCCTCTCTCTGGCGGCATGCACCAAGCAGTGGGATGTAGTGACCTACCTCCTGGAGAACCCGCACCAGTGTGCCAGCTTGCAGGCCACCGACTCCCTGGGCAACACAGCCCTGCACGCCTTGGTGATGATCGCAGACAACTCAGCTGAGAACAGCGCGCTGGTGATCCGCATGTACGACAGGCTCCTCCAAGCCGGGGCCAGCCTCTGCCCCCCCGTGCAGCTTGAGGACATCCCCAACCTGCAAGGCTTCACACCCCTGAAGCTGGCTGCTAAAGAGGGCAAAATCGAGGTGAGTGGCTGTCCCCATACCCCGCCCCTCCCCACTACTCCAGCGAGCAGCAGGACTCGCCCCGAAATTTCTTTTTTTTTTTTTTTT